GGGGGCAGGAGGAGGGGGGCTGCGTGCGGGGCTGCCCCAGCCTGGTCTGGGCTTAGTGACTCCCTGACCGCTGCCTTCAGGGCACCTTTTTTTTGGGCAGGTGGGTGGGGATGGGCAGCGTTGTTCACGTGGGTTTTTTCTTGGTGGAAGGCTCAGAGCAAGGAAATGCCACTTCCTCGGGGCGTTTCTGAATATGCGATACAAAGCCTGACACACGACACAAACTGAGCAGTGCTGCTCTGATCCGTATCCGGCTCTGCGTGCAGTCCGCTTCAGGTAGGTGGATAAGTTTCCCACAAATGTGTTTTCTGGCCGGTCTCTGGACCGATGCTACTGTGTGAAATCGGTTCTCGAAGGGGCAGTTCAGCACGGCTGAGCCCCCGCAGCTGCGTTAACTGCCCTCCCGCACGGACGTGGCTCTGAGGGCAGATTTCTGGTTGCTAAGGTTGTGTAATCGCCTGCTATAAATTGAAACTGGTGTGGCTCCTTTTGGTAAATGCAAAATTGAATTCTTTTTTTTACTACGCAGCTTGTTCAGTTTCCAGATGGCAAACCAACATGAAGTAATGGAAGCGCGACATAGTTTTGTTATAATGGATATGTAAACGTGATATTTATTCACTGCAATAGACTGCTGTGAACCATATTCCGGCAGTAACCTTTTAAATACATCACTTGGCTGCACATAAGTGTGGTCTAAAAGGGACTTGTAAGGAATTTGTTTTTTTCTGGAGGATTTTTTTAATCATTGAAAAGAAAGGGGAATGTTTTCCATCTTTTGCCTTAATGTGGGAACTGGGAAATGTCAGAAAACAAATCTGCTAAGATTTGTGTCTTGGGATTTTGGGTGTGTTGGGATTTTCCACACTAGCACCTTTTTAAGTGCTCTCTGAGCAGTCTGAAAATGTCTCTGATAAGACAACTTACTATGAATTTCCCAAAACTCAGTGGAGTACATCATGGACTTGAACATGCTCCTGCTCCTCCATATCGCACACTGCTGGCAGGAGTGAGCACAGCAGGTCCTTGGCCGTTCTCACTGTTCTGCGATTCCTGACTCCTGACATCACCCATTCCACCGTGTCCATCACCGCCAAATCTGCATGTCCAGAGGTGAGCACCTGTGTGTAAAGCACAGTCGTTCTTCCTCTTCACTCCATGGAACAACTCTTCCACTCTGTGAATAAATGGAGCAGGCTTCACTGTGTTTTGTACGAAGGTGCCGAGAGCACCGAGGTGCTCTCCATACAGGACCAAATCTGCTCCGGTCTCCGTGAAGACCCATGAGGCTCAGTGCCAGGTTACTTGGGAGCCATGTTACTTCTCCCTCTGATTTTAGCTTTTAGGGTAGAAAGGCAGGCAACAGCCTTGTCCTTGTTGGCAGCTGCTGTGTCTCCTGCAGTGAAGTGACGTGACACCGTCTCTTCCTTTGGCCACTCCGTTTGTTCCGCAGGATCCGAGGTCAGGCACGGTTTGCAGGGGGCAACCACTGGTGCTGAGCTCTCGTGCAGATGGTGGTAGATGCTTTTGCTCTAATGCTGATGCTTCGTGTCTGTAATACCTGCTAAAGCAACTGTACAGCAAGAGACCCGAGTTAATGTTCTCTTCAAATTCTTAATCGAAGAGAACACTGAGCCCCTCTGAACACAACTTCAGCAAGGCCAGTCCTCAGCATAAACAAGTGCTGTGGCAGAAATGGTTATTTTTAACATGCCCTTGCAAAACTGCTAGCTACACGCTATCGTTGCTTACAGCTCTGGGCCTTGACCCTGACCTGGCACTGCCGCGAAAAACAGACGCGGGAGGGACAGGGGTGAGGGTGTGAAACACCAAGCTGACAAATTCTAAGCAAGAAAGAAAACCTCCAGCATTTAATGAAACTTCAGGAGAAAACAGCTCCAAATGAGCCGCTGCCTTCTGGCCACCCATGCCCGGCAGGCCCCGGCTGCCCCTTCCCCGCATCCCCCATGCCGCGTAGCGTAAGTTCCACAGCACATCAGCGCGTCGTGCAGCCCCGCTCCCTCCCTACGCTCTCAGGTCCGGGGCAGTTTAGTCCACAAGCCCAGGGCGCTGCAGACGTTTGATCTGAGCTGCTGGAGGGATTGAGGGATAGTGCAGACAGTGTATTTACGTGGAGACGTTTGTCCCTGCCTGCTCACCCCCTCTGACGATGCCACTGAGGGCCAGGCGTGAGCCAAGCCCTGGGCACCGGCGCCGGCACCTTCTAGGGCCGTGGTGGCTGAACACAGCCAGAGCACTGAAGTTGTTTGGGGAGACCGGGCGGTTTGTCCACATGAAGGAGGTCTCTGCTGTTGAGGGGCTCCAGAGAGGAGAGGGACTGTGAGCCCTCAGGGTGTGCAGGGAGCAGGTGACGGCTGCTGGGCGGGTGTGTCAGGCAGTCTCCCTTTAAAAATCATTTTATAAAGCTTTTTCCCAGACCCTGTGAATTTTGAGCCCTTTTGTTTCTTTGTCTATTCACCTATTCGTGTTAGAGAACCTTTTCTCAGTCTCCTGAACCAGCAAGCGAGTCTTTGTGCAACTGTAAATGCTTTTCCAACTGTCCCTAAACTTTGGGTTAATTTTGGCTACAAAGAAAAAAATGGAAACACACTAAAAGGACTCAGTGTAACTCACCAAGGTGTCTGTTTATAGCAGTTCAACGTGTTTGTTTCCCTTAGGACACTAGACCACACAAAAGTGCATCAATAAACACATC